CCCAGTACCGCAGATGGCCATTCAGGCCCCCTATCCAGATGGTGTCATCTTTGACCACGATGCTGTTGGCCTCACCCTGCCGGCCAGGGAGGTCCCTGCCCAAGAGAGAGAAGTTAGCGTGTGACTGAGGCTGAGCTCCTGGAAACACCACCATCCTGGCTCCAATTGTTTCTGAATTGCATCCCTAGCCTTTTTTTAAAAAAGTATATTTAGTGGGGCTGGGGAGATGGCTCAGCAGAATAAGTGCTTGCCTAGCAAGGGCAAGGGCCTGAGTTCAATGCCCAGTTCTGAAAAAAAAATATATATATATATATTTAGTACAGGGTCTCACTAGTGGTCCTCCTATTTTCAGCCTCCCCAGCACTGGGATTACAGGCATGATCCATACACCTGAGTCTTTGTAGCCGCCTCAGTAGGCTCCAGGGCGGTACCAGGGATCCGGTCCTTGTGCTTGCCTAAGGACTGAGCTTTTGCACTGGCCCTCCTAGCCCTTCTTTTTCAAATGGCTTTGCTATATAACTCAGGCTGACCTTGAACTCACAGGGATCCTCCTGAGTGTGGAGATGACAGGCGTGCACCACCACACCTGGCCCAAGAATTCTTTGAATAGGGGCCAGGGAGATAGTTCAGTAGAATAAGCGCTTGCCTGGCAAGTGCAAGGGCCTGAGTTAAATCCTTGGTTCCGCATTAAAAAAAAAAAAGAATTATTTGAATAACTGAACCATACGGGGTCCCATCCTAGCTACTCAGGAGGCTGAAGCAGGAGGGTGGCAAGTTGAAGCACAGCCAGGGCAATTTAGTGACTTAACTAGACCCTGTCTCAGAAACTTAAAAAAGGGTCAGGCATGTGGCACCATGCTTTCACAGCCATTCACAAGTGAGAAGAATTGTTTGGTCTGGGGGCTGTCGCACCCTTCAAGGTGGGGAAACTGAGGCAAGCAAGCAGGAATGACTGAGTTTTGGGGGAAAGCTGTCGTGAAGGTTCCCAAATACAGGCCCAGCCCCTGAGGCCGCGCTTGGATTTTGAGGGCTCCAGGCCCCCCACTGGTCCATCCCACCTCGCCCTGAGCCGCACTTGACCACATTCGGGTCCCGAAGGTCCCAGATCCTGACGGTGCCATTGCTGAAGCCTGCGAAGGCCAGACTGCCCTTGGGGCAGGCATCCAGGGTCAGGCAGGAGAGCCCCTTGCAGGACAGCTGGCGTGGCTCGTTCAGGGATGGTGCCGACAGGTCCCACACGTTCACGCCTGGCATGTTGTGGCCGCCCGCAAGGAGCATGCTGCCATTGGGGGTCAGCAGGCACGTGCGCAGGTATGCACCCGGGGTCTGCACAAGACAGGTGGCGGTGAGTGGGGTGCTCCTGGGGGACTTCCTGCTCCCAGGCAGCCTGCTGGCTGGCTTTTACCTGGACGGGCCAGTGCAGGTTGCTCCTGGGAAGGGTGGCCGGGGCCCCCTGGCTGTCCAGGTGCCACACCTTGAGGCCTCCCACACCGCAGGTGAATACGTGGCGTGTGAAGCTGTTCACAGCTGTGGACAGCACGCGGGCCCCATGCTGCAGCTCCTGCAGCCTTTCCACCTGGTACGGCACACAGAGGCTCTCCGACTGGCCCGGCTCAGCACCTGGCCGCACCCATTTCTTCTCCAACTCCTTGTGGTCCCAGGATCTGCAGAGTGGTAGGGAGGACTTGGGGCGACCTGTCTGCCTTGGGGGCTCCCATGCTCCAAGAGAGCTTCCTACCCAGCTCCAAAGTAGGTTCCTTTTCTGGCCATGAGGGAATCTCTCAGGCCATGTTCCCCGCTAGATTCCCTGCAAAACCTAACTGCAATCCAGATGCTCCCTCCTGTCCTAAACAGATGCGTCTCCCTGTTGCTCAATGGAGAAAACTATTCCTCCTTTACGGCTCTAATTACTATGCCCCTCCCCCCACTGTGTTGGGCTCTAACAAGGCAGCCCCTGCCTCTCCTCTGCCTTCAGGGTGAATTCCTTCCCCAATCCCTTGAACCCAGAACTGCTTATATCAGGAACCTGCAGTGAGGTTTGCGTGAATGTGCCACTTTGCTTAGGGGCCTGCCTGGTGATGACAGGAAGGGACACAGAGGAACACCCCTGGGGATACACAGACAGATGGGTGGTCTCCCTGGACCAAGGTGGACAGGGCAGACACTCACGTGGGCTTCAGGAACACGGGGTGTGCTCCTTTGAGGGGCGCCTGTGGGGACAAAAGGTGGCTGTTCAGTGTCCTCCCACCCTCACCCCAGACAGGTGGCTCCTGGCAGGGGTCTCACCTGGGCAGCACTGTGGCTCTTGATGGTCTCTTCAAGGTCCTCCCAGGAGTCACTAACTGGACAGAGACAAGGGCGGCTGAGCAGGCACTGAGTCCTGCGAGCTGGTGGCCCCCTCCTATCCCCCGACGGGCCACTTACGCAAGTCCTCCGACTCCAAGTCCAGCAACGTCGAGCCCTTGCCCTTCTGCTCACGGTTGCAGGAGTCAGGAGTTGTAACAGCCCTGTGCACGTCCTGTGTTCGGGTGCTGGAGCACCCCAAGGTGCTGGGCATGGGGTTCCCAACTTGGTCCCTATTCAGACTCCCATCTTTCCCCTGTGTCAGGAAGGGCCACCATCCTGAGCGACGTCCTGTGTTATCCTGGGGGCTCTCCCTCAAAGAACCCAGAGCCCAGCACACCCACCCTGAGGCCCCCAGGATAGGAGTTGATGTGTGTACTCACCAGGCCTGGTTCCCACTCTGTTGCCACAGCAACGGGATGGAGGCAGATGGAGAGTGTCAAATAGCAAGGTTAGCGCTCACCCCTGGACCCAGCTGGAGGCCACCCCCCTCCAAGGGATACTCACTTTTGGGACTCTGTACTGCCACCTTTTTGTAAGCAAAAGTCCCCCTGAGGTCCTTGGTGAGGACACTTGGCTGCTCAGCCTTGCAAGATATTGGCAGGAATGGCCGGGTCTCCTGCAGGCAATCCTCTGCCCTGGGGGGCCACCACTGCTTTGCCAGCACACGGGTCTTCTGGCCCACAGGGCCTTTGCAATGCCATGTCTGGGGCTTCTCTGCTTCTGGGATCCTGCGGGGAACTGGCTCCCTCTCTTTCAGCTTGAACTGTTTCCCAGAGGAGGTTGGGTGCTCCAAGGGACTCACTACCTACAAGGTCATGGAAGAGCTAAGAACTCATCAGTTAAGGCTTGGAAATCCCAAGCAGCCCCACTTCCCTGTGCATAAACAGGAGAAGGTTGGGTGGGGTGGTACTCCTGCCACCCCAGGACTTGGGAGGCTGAGGCAGGGGGATGGCAAGTGACTCTGCAACACCCCAAAACAGAACAAAGAAAAAAAAAAAACTATGGTGTGGTGGGAACTGGGAAAGCCTAGCTCAGTGGGAGGGCCCTGGGCTCCGTTGCCAGCATTTTTTTTTTTTGCAGAACGGGGGATTGAACTCAGGCCCTTGCACTTGCCAGGCAAGCGCTTATTCTACTGAGCTATCTCCCCAGCCCCCTGTTGCCAGGATTGATGACAAATTTTTTCCTTTCAAACAGAAAACAATCTCCACTGGCACAATCCAGTAAGCAAATAGCTGGTGTCAGAGTTGAGTATTCTAGTGGGCACAATGAAGGGATGAAGAAATCGGTGATACTGTTAATGTAACGCAGGGCTGAGGATATAGCTCGGCGGCACCTGCCTGGCAAGCACGAGGTCCTGAGTGCGATTCCTGGTAGCCCCACCCACACAGTACAGAAGCAATACGTATGGCTTTTACATTGTACCAGGTATTCTCAGCTTCCTAGGGATGATTTAGTGTGTATGGGAATACACGTCTACCAGTGTGCTCACCACACCATGTCGTATGAGGTACCAGAGCATCCGGGAATGCTGATATCAGCAGAGGATCCTGGGACCTGTCCCCTTCCCACACGTGATGACGGCAGTGATTCTGGGGGTGGCCACCAATGCTCACAGTCTGGCTGCTGCTACGTAGGGACGTGGCTTTTGATTGACTCGTGGTACTGGAAAAGCGAACCCAGACCCTGCACGCTGGCTTAACCCTGGCCTCCTGATTTTGGGAGGAGTCCTGCCAGGTCATGAAGTTGGCCCAGGCGGGTCTGGGACTTGCAACCTTCCTCCTCAGCCTCTGAGTGCTGGGATGACAGGCATGTGCCACCAATCCTAGCTTGAGGACTGAGTGTTTAACTTCCCTTTAAGTGATGACACTTGCCTGAGTTCAATCCCTGGTTCCACCAAAATAAATAAATAACACATAAACCAGGTGGGGAAGGGCACATCTGTAATCCCAGCTGCTCGGGAGACTAAGGCAGAATTTTGAGTTTTTGCACAGACTGGAAATTTAACAAGGTTATGCCTAAAACCAAACCAAACCAAACCAAAAACAAACAAAAACCCCAACACAGGCCAGGGAGATAGCTCAATAGAATAAGTGCCTGCCTGGTAAGTGCAGGGCCCTGAGTTCAATCCCTAGTACTGCAAAAAAAAAAAAGGAACAACAAAAAACTCGTGAAAGCTAAAGAAGGCTGAGTCACAAGATCACCTGTAGAAGTGGGTGTGCCATCTCAGGTGTGTACACACCCATAATCCTTGGGACTCAGGGAGGCTGAGGCAGGAGGATCACACAATGCAGCGCAATTTGGGGCAATTTACCAACCTCCTGAGATTCAATCTCAAAATTAAAAACTATGCTGGGCGTGGTAGCCTATCCCTTGCTTGCAATCCCAGCACTCTGAGGCTGAGGCAGGAGGATTACTTTACCAGGAGTTCAAAGGCAGTCTGGGTTGCATAGTAAGACCTTGTCTCAAAATAAAGAACAAAGGCTGAGGATATAGCTGAGTGAAGGCCCCAGATTCAATCTTCAATAGCGAAAACAAAAAAAAATGATAAAGGAAAGTGTCCCAGGGCCATCCTCTCAGCGCCAACCCTACTTGCAGGTGGGGAAGCTCCGCGAGGTTCAGACAATCACAGTCACATCCCCCAACAGGGAAAGATGGAAGCCGACAGTTTCTCTGCCCGGTTCCCCCCCTGGATTTTGGGGGGTGCGAATCAGGACCGGGAGGGCGGTGGATCCTCTGCTGAGCCCTGGCAGGCTCCCCATAGTGATAGATGGAGGCGATGGAAGCCCTGGGGAGCCCCGATTTCGCCTCCTTAACGCGCGATTTACGGGGGCTTTTGTGCGCGCCCGCCCGCCCGCCTGCCCGCGCGGCGGCTCCCCAGGGCCTGGGGCTGCGCGCTGCTCCCAGCGATCAGTGAAGCGCGGCGCAGCTGCAGAGCAGGGCGGAACCGAAGCCCGGGTCTTTCCGCCCCCAGCGACTGCTGCGGGACCGCCCCAAACACGTCCATCAGTCCATGATTTTTTTCTTTTGACATGTTAAAGGACTGAATCTATCGCCCTTCACCCAGCTACTCCGCAGCCCACATTGAAGTTCTGACCCCGGTGTAGCAGCGAAGGCCTGCCGTGCCAGCACTCTGGAGGCCGAGGCAGGAGGATCGCCCGAGTTCCAGGTCAGCCTGGGCCATGCAACAACATTCTGTCTCAAAAAGAGTAAAATTGAGACAGGATCTCACTATGTCGCTAAACTGCACGGGCTGGGCTCAAATTTGTGATCCTGTCTCAGCCTCCCAGAGAGCTGGGGTGACAGGCAGACGCCACCGTGCCTGGCTCTGTCACTGGTTCCAACCATGCTTGAGCCCTCACTGCTCACCTCTCTTCTGTCATTTCCACAGCAGCCACAGTGGACCTGAGAGATCCCTCCTCCGCCCTCAGTGCCTCCCACCGCCCTGGGCCCTGCACAGCTGCCCAGCCTCTGCCGCCTCTGCCTCCCCTGCTCCCTCTGCTCCAGCCACGCAGGCTCCTGATGTTTCTGTACTGAACCTCCGGCAGCTGAGACTTTGCATGGCTGTGCCCTCTGTCTGGGACTTGTCCCCATCCCAGACTTCCACAGCAAGGCTCTGATCTCTCCTCAAGTATCACCTTTACAGCCGGCTTGTAAACTGCCCCCTGCTCCGCTGTCCCAGCCCCCACTGCCTTACAGTGAGCGGCAGGCCAGGCTCCCCTCCCCCAGGGCAGTGAGGCCCACTGCGACGTCTGCCATTTCCCAGTGGGCAGGCAGGTGATGGCTAAGTATCTGCTGAATGAATGACTGTGTTCTGGCTGCTTCCTGCCCCTGAGCTGCCCACCCCAGCGCTGCTAGGCTACAGACACGGCCCTGGCCCCTTGCCAGTCACAGCTGGCACAGGCGGGGAGGCCTGCCAGTGCCCAGGAGAAAGGGCCAGGTGGCAGGAGGACAGGCGGGAACAGAAGACAGAGACGCTTCGCTGGGACAGGGCTCCATGCGGACCCCTCCTGACCCTTGTGACAGGACCCTAGTCACATGGGGCCAAGCCTGAATCCCAAAGGGGGGGGCACAGAACAGGCAGCCCTAAGATGCAGGTCTGTCATCCCCAGTCTAAGAGGCTGAGGCAGGAGGGTCACAAACTGGAACCCAGCCTAGGCAACTTATGGTCTTATTTTTACTATTTTCTTTTTTTTGGTACCGGGAATCGAACTTGGGGCCTCGCACTTGCTAGGCAGGCACTGTGCCACTTAGCTTCGGCAACTTAGCGAGACCTTGCTTCAAAATGAAAACAGCCAGTGGACGCAGCTCAGGGCAAAGGCCCCGGGTTCCATACCCAGCAGTAGGGGAAGAAAATGTAGGGCTCCATTATGGTGGTGGATGTCCCAGGCCAGGATCCTGGCCCTCCACGGCCCCACTGGCCTTGGGGTCCAACCCCAGGCCCCTTCCCTCCCCATCTCCCTGAGTTCTGCACCGCACACCTTATTTTTGCCTTGAAGATTCATCGGCAGCTTACGATGGCAAAGCTGACCAAGATGAGGGGGATGCAGGATGGGATGCGGGATGGGACGCGGTGTGGCCTGCGGGGTCGGGGTGGCCAGCTGGGACCCCATGTGCAAGGTTCCTCTTGCTGTGAGACGCTGTGTGAGCCCACAGCCTCTCCAAGACTCTGCTTAAATAGGCTGCACCACCCACCACACCTAGGAGAGCTCTGGTGGGCTCAGGATTCTGTCTCAAGGTTGGCCAAAGGCTGTGTTCAGCCCCTGCTCCACCCTGCCTCTGCCAGGGACCAGGCCAGCCTCAGGGCCTTCGCACCAGCTGTGCAGCCCTGGGGGTGGGGTGTCACCTGCCCTTCTCTCCAGGGTGGAGGGATTTAATTATGCACACATTGGCCTGAGCTCAGCTTCCCCCTGAGCCCTGCCTGAGCTAAAAAGCAGAACATCCTTCTCTTTCTTTCCTGTTTTCTGTCACCTGGCACTAGTGTTTGCCACCACAACCAACTAGCAAGATTTAATTTGGAAAAGTGCAAAGAAAGAAATCAGAGGGTAAATCTACTTGCCCAAAGTGGGTGTGGCAGCGCATGACTGTCATTCCAGCCCTCTAGAGGCCCAGGCAGGAGGATCCCGGTGAGTTCAAGGCCAGACTGAACTACTTAAGAGAACTTGTCTCAAAAAAAACCCACCACCAACAACAACAAAAATGTACTTGGCCAAA